GAGCGTTGTAGTCACACGCTGAAAAAATAGCAGTTTTATGTGGATGTTTACCCAAAAAACCACCTCAACTTCAGTTACACTTAGAAAGAATGGAAATTTGAGACGTTTATTTTGTAGACGTGTTTGGAAGATCGGCCTGAAGTCTGCAGCTTTTGTTGAAATTCTCTGAGAATTCAACATTGACTTATAGAACGAATGGAACTGATCGTTTAGGACATCTGAACAGAATTATGCTACTGAAATCTATTTCTAATCTAGTCAACTTCTCTGTCTGGCACGTTGTATTCATCAGCATCCTTTTATACACTCGCAGTCATCATAAAGAGAACCGGGGCCAAACATTTCCTCAGTGATGTTGAAGAGGCCTGTTTTTAACTGATGTGGTTCACAAGGCAAGCTTTTTTTAATTCCTCTTTTCATGGCCTCCAGTCTGTCTTCTACACCACATATTTCTCTTTCTTTAACTTCACCCGCCCAGCCAAACACTTACCTCAGGATATCCAGTTCCTCAGTGTGTTTTACTTAACGTAGTTAATGAGCTTATGTTTCTTTTTGAACTTTACTTTTTCCAGTCCAGTTTACCCTCTTGGATAGATTTGTCACAAAACGTTTTAGTCGGTGCAGCAATACACTTGGAGCTGTGTTATTTTGTTGTTTTTTCCAATATCTTGGGAAGCATTTTAGTCAAAACAAACTCTAACAGGGAATGTTTTTTAAAAAAAAAAAAAAGATCAGGTCTCTAAAGTTTCTAGAATAAAATATTAGAAAGTGTGACCTCTCAGACCAGAGAAGAGGGAAATAACATCTACATTTCTGTGCTTTTTCTATTCTGATCACTATATTAAACATGTAACTGATACTGAAAATAGCTTTCAATTTTTTTCAACATGCAACACCATAAAGAATGCAATCGACACAACCTGGAAACCCTTGGGTATGATGCTTTCACTGATGGTGAAAAATACTTTTTAGTCTTTAACTAGATGGAAAAAGCTGGAAAACCTTTCACCAGCCAAACTGCGTTTCTAATTAATTATGGTTATATACCGTTATGTTACTTCAAATACTGACAGTAATGTGATATTGCTGTATATTGTTGATATTGTGTTATAATGGAAAAATATTTGCCATTCCATTCCACAGTCTGGTTTATTGTTTATAATTACCTGGATTACAATCAGACAATAATCATTTAATAAAATATACAACCATATTTTATTGCCCTTTACTTCAGACACAAAAACTACCCCAAAACTTTTTTTTGGTTCATTGATAATCTATTTCCAAAGGAAAATCTTCCATAAAATGTACCTCTAACCTATTTAAATGTGCGAGCTTTAATGCACAACATTTGACTCAAATGTGTTTCACAGAAGCAAAAGAAAAACCATGTCCCAAATGTTGTTGTTTTTTTTTTGTTGTTTTTTTTTATTGGATAATCCGCTGATTACATTATTTACGCTTCCGTCCAGCTGCTTTCCTGCTTTGACTTGACTGTTTACCCAGACCTGGAAGCAGAATGCCTGCATCATCATCTATTCTCGCTTCTTATCACATCGTCTCTGAGTTATCAGACATGTTGGCTCTGAAGAGATTAAAGCAGCTCATGAAGTAATCTTAATTTTGTAATAATAATAATGCATCACTGTTGAGAAAACCTGACTAAGCATCTGAAGTAAGCCTTTCCGGTCTTGGTCCCATCACTTTTCATTTGTTTGACATTTCCAGATGTTTGGTAGCAACATATAATACCCACTACATGATTGAAGAGTGCTTCCAACCACCTTTGAGCAGCAGAAACCTTTAAGTAATAGGTTCTGTGTAACCTTATCAGTATCTGGCAGCATTGTGCTGCAATTTCTTACACGCCCTTCTTTACTGCGATGTTACAGTTCACCTAGCTTTGCAAGGTTTCGTTTATGCATAACTTGCATAAAATCAGCCGGGTTCACGTCTGGGTTTTAAGAGAACTGCTGCATGACTTTAATTGTTTTCTTGTTTTAGAAAGAAAATCATTTTAATTCTTATTCTCAGACTACAACATTTTTGGTGTACTCCGAATCATCCAACTTAACGTTAATCTATATTTTGCTGTCTGGACAGGTTGTCTGGTGCAGCTAACCTTTGTACAAAAAATATTTTGGACATAAATGTCAATGTGCTTCTCGATTGATAAGATATGCTCCTCCTTGCTAGGTTAGTTAGTTTTCCCCAAGTTTGACGCTGTATGTTATGGTCTTATGGCCAAACTCCTCAACATTTATCTTAAAAAGGTAAGTTCTTAAGTAACCACTGGCTAAATTTGATAGAAATTGTTAAATAATATAGCATACAAATTGTAAAATGTGTTCTCTCTAGATTGCATGTTCATTATTTTTGGTTGTAGTAGTTATATGAAGTTATATCTACTTGTTTTTTGTTGGGGGTCAATCTTAGTTGATTGTTTTTTGATGAAAATAATAATATATATATATATATAAAAAAATGGACCATTCTATCTTTTTTTATGCAAGAATCTGGATGGGAAGCTTCTTCCAAAGTGAGTTTCTGTCTCTTTAAATATCTGTTTATTTTTGGGCCTCGTTCTTTCTTTCCATCTGCTGAAACCTATTATTCAACTTGGCATTTGCTCTACAGTCGGAATATCAGAGTCTGTTATGGATTCCAGGTTATGGACCGTCAGTATTTCCTTGAGGATTTCTGCTTATTCTTTATATACTTTCTGCCTCCTAATGAACAGTGTTTCTTAATTAAAAGAGGCTTGTGCGTGCTTGCGTGCGTGTGTGTGTGTGTGTGTCTGTGTCTGTGTGTGTTACATTGAAAAGCTTGCAGCTCTTGTTCTCTTCTGCTTCTTGCTCACTCGCCAAGGCCAGATATGTAAGGCAACAGCCCAAGTTTTCATTTTGAGCGGGCCCCTCCTTTTCTTATCCTCTGTCAGCACTTTCACAACTTCACCACATTGGCTCAAGTTTCAAGATTAGGGGGAAAAGCTCATGTAATGGTGTTTGGCTATGGAATGGGTGTGAATTTAAAATGAGTTTGAGTTTTGTTCACCAGTACTTAAAAGTAAAATCTCTTTATTTCAGTGATTTTTTAATAGTTTTTTATCAGTTTATTTTTTTGGTGAGTGGCTTGATTAATCCATTAAAGAAATTCCTTTCCTGCTACAACAGATGAGGGTAAAAAGTTCATGTTTTTAAACTTTGAACACATCCAGTGTCTGTGTGTGAGAGGGATGCTCTTTATTGCTTTTGACCCTATTTCTGGCCTTTGAGTCTATTTTAGACCTAAAGTTCATTCTTCTTTGTTTGGGTCACAGAAGCAGTCAGCTCTTTTCAAGCTGAAAAGCTATCTCTATTGAGCTTAAACCTACTTTTTTTTATGTCTTTCAGGTTGTATGTATGAGTGTGGAAGATTAGTTTTTAGACCTACAAATGTGATTTTTATGTTGTATGTAGGATCCATCACTGAGAGTAGCAGCTGTGCTAGAAATTAGGAAGAACAAATCTTAAAATTAGACAAAATAAAGTAGCTTATGTGCAGTACTAAAGCAGAATACATTAACTAATCCGGATTTTTGAAATAATGATATAAGGTATCTTGAGGATGATGCAATGATCTTTAGCTTTTTGATGGATCTTATGAGTAAAACTGATGGTTTTTAGACAGAAAGTCTGACCAATCAATCAATAAGTTTATTCACTCAACAAAACGCATTTCACCAACGTATAAAGCATTGTCTTGTGACAATTCATCTACATGAGTGAAAGGGAGCAGAAAGAAGAAAAACCATATAAAAACCTGCCCCTTTCTCAATAATTACAAAATAAATATTTTTTGTTTTCAAGATTAGACATGAGAGAAGCTGCAGTTTCCATTTTGTTGCTAAGGCGTACAATACAAGGAGCTTGGAGATTACATGTTCATGTTTCATAGCAAGTGAAGAAATGGAAAGGAATTTGGGAAAAACTACCCCTTTATGTGTTGTGAAATGCCAATGTATTTCTTCAGTGAGAAATACGGGAAATTACTTTTAGTAGATTTTTTTTTTTTTTGTGGTTGGATTGTTCTGCTGAGTCAGCCTTTAAAAGTCATGTGCTGCATTCGTGCAGAACACTTTAGCTGAATGTGTGCTGAATGCGTAGCTGAAAAGACTTCTCTGTGATTGCCTGATTCTGTCTGCTCGTTCATTTACATAGTTTTAGGTTGTGAGCAAAGATTCAGAGCAAAAGTTGTCAGAGTTGGGCATGTGTCAGAACGCTATGGAGCGATCGTTTTGATATTTACTGAGGAAATATTTGTATTCATCACTGATTACTCTTCTCTTTCTCAGTAATTTACATCATTTATAGTCATATCATTTCAGTACTGAATGAACAATTTATATTAAAAAAAAAAAGATAAAAATGGCTTTCAAAATAAAACTTTTGATATAGACATATTATATGGCATGTAAATATTATAAGACCTTAACTGGAGTGAGGGGTTATTTTATGAAAATAAATCAATATGTTGGTTGTTCTTAAAATGTTGGTTCATTGTTCTCTTTTTTACACTATTTCTCATTTAGAGATTTCCACTTTCTCATATTTTAATCACAAGCTTACGAGGGTTTCTAACATTCAAGTACAGCAACAGTAATGTGTTAAACTGTGCAGATTAAGATTTAGGAGAGCAGAGATTAACTCCGATGGAGCCGGGATGAGTCATTTAAGTCTCTCCTTCCCTCTGTGATATTCTGCAGCTTGTAGTCTGCTGATCCTGCAGAGACCCAATCTGTGCTTTGTCACATTTTAAAGGGCAGGATGCCAGTCCTGGTCCCAGCTCAGAGGCCTGACCCAAAATGGCAGCTCTCACTCTAGCTGCCTCCACCAGTTTCTGTGTTTACACATGCTTGTGTTCAAAGTTCCTCAGAGCTATAATACCATGTGCTGTGACCGTAGTTTTGTGAGGTGCTCAAGTTCAAACCTTTATGTGTTTTTTTTTTCTCCTCCTCACAGAGCAACCATAGAGGAAGTGGAGGGGGATGTGTGTGAGTTGGAATCCAAGCTTGACAAAGTGAGTACCACCCATGAAAAACATTGCTTAATTGTTCATTTGCTCCACGGTGAGAGCTGGCAGCTGCAAACGGACATTCTGTGAGTGGGAAGGTGCAGGTTTGTCCCAGCCCTCCTCTACTGTATATCCCCAGGCAGATTGCCTTTGCAGAGAGAGAGAAAAAAAAAAAAAAAAACATTTAGACAATGTAACTAAGATATGTAAGGTTTAGTTTGCTTTAGTGAAAGTTCCAGCTGTGAAATTCTGCATGATAATGTTAAGATAAAGAAATAACCTCTACCACCTCAATGTACATACACAGTAACTTACCTGACTTATTTGTATTTGTTTGATTATTCATGTCAAAGACTGTTTATTCTAACAGTTTTGCCAAACAAAACTGAGAACATGAGGAGTCAAAAATGTCCTATTTAAGAATGCATAAGGACAACATTCAATATTTTTTAGTCTTCTTCCCATTGGGGACTCATCATTTTTTCTGTACTAGTAGCATAAGATATGTTGCACCGCTGTGTAAGAAAAGAAGATGTATGAGGATTAGCATTATTTTAAAACTGTCTTTAGCATTGCATGTTAGCAATTAGCATGGGGATTGTTGCAAAAAAAAAAGCTTACATTGAGACTGGAGATTACCTGAGTGCAGTGACTGTGTCTCTGGTAGTTGCAGTTTAAAGACACTTGTTCATTCACTGGTCAGTCAGGATTCCTGGCTACCATGAAGACAAAAGAACAGTTCAAGCAAATCAGAAAAAAGGTGCCTGAGAAGTAGAAGTTAAGGGATGGATACAAGGTCAGCTGAATCCATGATCAAGAAAGGAAGGAAATGTGTAAATCAGTCTAGATCAGACTAATCTCACAAACAGAGGGAGCCTACAAGGAGGACACTAGTGAGAGAAGCCAGTATGATTATGTTGAAGGAGTCGGGAGCTTCAGCAGCTGAGATGTGAAGCATGGTGGTGGCAGCATCATGAACTGGGCATGCTTCTTGGCAGCAGGCCCTGGAAAGCTTATGAAGCTAGACATAAAATGACTGCAACAACATATATGGAAGACAGTTTGTTTCAATCTGCAAGAGGACATTTATTTTTCCAGCAAGGCAATGACCCGAAGCATTCAGCTAAAACCACAGAGAAATGGTTTAAAGACACTAGGTGGGTGTTCTGGAGTGGCCCAGTCAAAGCCACAGGAAGAATGGAGTAAATTTGCAGCAGGCTGATAGAGACCTATCCACACAGATCCCGTTCTGTGATTGCTTTGAAATGAGCATCTATTAAATACTGACTTGAAGAGAGTGAATAAATCCACTTATTTCATGTTGCATATTCTTATTAGTTGTTTTTTTTTTTTGGGGGGGGGGGGGGGGGGGGGGAAAA